CTCCACAGTAAGCCAAAACCAAGTAAATTATTTGGTAGTACGTTCGATTTTATAAAAAAGATGTTCACATTTTGACACTATTTCAATTGACAACAGTTAAAAAGAATCCTTAAAATAAATAAAAACTACCACCTTCTGCTCTTCAAGTTTTTAAATTGGATGAACTGTAAAAGGTTAGCAGAAGTTCTTAAGCATAGTATCAAAGAGTTGGGGCATTCATAACATGAAATTGAGTAAGAAAATCAAAAGACTGTTGATAAGTTGGTAATAGTAACGAGACAAAGAGTTTAGGAATATACTGAGTTAAATTCGCTCAATATAATTGAATTTTCTTTTTCAAAAAGTATCTGAAAATTGTTCATTTCGAAGATAATTTAATTTGTACGAAATCCAATCATGAAGTGTTCAATTCTTAAGTTGTTCTTTCTTTTTGTCAGCTGTAAATTCGATCTCAAATGACATTATCTATAGTTTTATTGGTGTTAGGAAGTGAAGTGTAAAGAAAATGACATCACTTTTATAGTACATTTAAACAAATGAATGGTGATACATAGATTGAGCATTGGACATAACACCACAATATAAACACACAGATAACTAATTGAATCCAAATATTCAAGCAGTTTGAACAGATGAGATGAATTGTAGTTAGTGGCATCTTGGTAAACGTGGAGATGACTCTTCCGTTACCAGACTGAACTTTATTTTTGTTGCATCAACAACAGCACATAGTGTGGATTAATTTGATTTATTATTACCCCTGTTATTACTACTATTCAGTCCTACTTTTTTCTGACAATACAAGGAGGAAAATACTTTTCCACTTCAATTCATCCTCACCTACACACTGAAACTGTATGTATATCCATCTCATATGTCCCGTTGTTCATGAACACATAATTACGATATCATCGACAACCTCTATAATTGATCCAGAAGCAATTAATACGACAAATTGGAGACAAGCTTCCCGCAAACTGTCTAGACAGCGATCTGTGAGGACTAGTTGCTGACAGAGGTTAAAAGAAGCAGAACACAGGAAGAGTGAAAGAGAGTGTATTTCCACGAAATCGAGAACCCTAAATTTTACTGGTAAGTGAATTACAGTTGTACACTTTAGATAGTTAGGAAAATGCACAAGGTAAGTGAAGTGAGTGATAGAAAGTAACGTTATTCTTAAATTTGTGACGCATTTAAAACCTTACTCGTCCACTCTCTAGCTTCGATTTTAGACTGCCTTATCTCACCTCAGTGACTTACCACCGTTTGTTGACTATTTCTTATCGTTAAGTGTAAGTAAATTATTGGTGCTTGTTGAGTCGACGGTTCACGTTTTTCCTCTTCTTTGTTCTTACAGATTCTAGTGGTCACAGCAAGACTTACACTCTTCTGGTTACCCCCTTGAAACAACCTACCTACTTGCTAGACGAAAACCCACCAAAAGCTAGTCGTTACAAATTGAAGTTTTATGTAGAGATTTACTCAGTCTTCACATCTCTCTATGTTATTTGAAACGAACGACGGTAATGAAGGTGAAGTGAGAACTTGGACCGCGTCCGAATTCGGATCAGCGACCACCGGGTTACAGGTCCGGTGCTCTACCAACTGAGCCACGAGGTCCGACTGATGACCAGATTTTTATTTCACTTCAGTCATCAAGGGTTTTGCCCGACTACCACGTGAATTTGTGATGCATTACTACCACTTGATCGTATTCACACTGGCTCCCTAGTCAGGACTATCGGCTGGTAGAGCACCTGGCCGGTAGTCCATTGGTCGCTGGTTCGGATCCTGTCGCGGTCCAAATTTCCATTACGCCTTCAACCATCACCCAGTGTAAATACTAATCTGTCAAACCATGGCTATCTCTGATAGTCAAACGATAGTGAACGAGGATATAATTAGCAATACACATCACATAGCATAATACCAGCAATTTCACACTATTGTTGACTAGTAATCATAGCTTGAAAAACAGTGATTGTGCAAGTAGGAGTGGAAAGTAAATTTGAGTATATATTTTCGCTTCATTTATATATCTGTGAGTGCATGTGTGTTGATGTTTCCCTTGAGGGAGTTTAATTCAGATTTTGCGACTATAACACCTCAAAAGTGGGAATCAATCGCCTCCTGCAGGATCAGCATCATGACAGCAAGACTCAACTCAAAATGAAGCAAAGTCACAATCATACAATGAGACGCTACGCTACACACCTACAAATAATGCAGATCAAGAGATGGAGGAGGAATTCTATGGGCGACTGAAATCAGTAATGGATAAGACCACACCCCATATGGCGTCACCAAAATTCATTCTAGTGGGTGGGGTGACGTGAATGCCAAACTGAGAGCAGACAACACAGTAAGAGAATTTAGGATTTGTCCTGGTGAGTACTTGACAGACGCGAAGACCAATCACTAATTGTTCGGACTTGTTATATACCCACGAATACGAGACCAAGGAAGAATACGATAGCGTAGTCGGATGGAATAGTATATTTGGATGGTTGTGCCAAAATACCGATGCGTTCCAACTAACTGGCTAGAGAGTCGAATACGAGCAGTGCAGGACAGCGTGCCAATTAGCTAGGATGCTTGACCGGTGCCTTCGGCTTAGCGAGTCCAGTTAAGCTATCAAGGTTAGCATCAATGTCGAAAGTCGTCAAACCCTAGGCTATTGATTTTGGGGAAGTATGTGACTCTACAAGAACTCATCATTGGTCGAGAAGCACTCACTGAAATGAACGAGAATGGAGAATTGTTTACAGACTTCTACGCATTAAATGATTTGATGATCGGAGGCGAGCCAGTGTGTACAAACACAATGATGTTCACAAAGCAACAACATGGATTTAATTTCACTAAATGGACACACTGCACTAAAAATCACATCAATTTCATCTCCATCTCAAGAAATTAAAGACGCAATCCACTGAACTCGAGGTGAGATCAAGAAGAGGAGCGGATGTAGGTTCACAACACTCACCATCTACTGCAACGAACCTACTTTCAAAACCAAGTTGAAAGCCTTCAAAGAAGAAGCTGGTGATAGATCACAGTTCAAGTTCAACACCCAGAATCCATACTAAACTGAACTGAAGGACGAAACTACAAATGACATCTTCACATCAGTCAGCCACCACGAAAATACGGGAGACATCAAGCAACATCCCCTTTTCTGAGGAAGCCTACGTGGAAGAACAAGGAAACCTGCATAACTATGTTAGGCAGGAAGAGGAGGCAAGACAAGGAATGGATCTCGACGGATATATGGAAGCTGATAGAGGAGGGAGAGGAAGATGATGAAGGAGAAGATGAATCAGTGCAGTGCGGTGCAGGAATGAACAACGAGGAGAGGGACTGAACAAAAGGTATAAAACAAAGAAGTGAAGAAGAGTGCATGGGAAGACAAAAGATACTTCTATGACATACTTGCAAGTGAAGCAGAACAGGCTGCAGGTAAAAGAGACAGAGACCTGACAACACTATATCAGATAACCAGGTTGCCATCTGGAAGAGAGGAGATCAACGCAGATGTATGCAATGAAAGATTATTATTATTAGTCCCTTGGGTTCCTAGTGGAACATAGGGCTTCAGTAGCACGCCTCCAGTGACCTCTGTTCTCTGAGATCTTTTGAACCTGGTTCCACGACAGCCCAGAAGCTCTCATTTCCTCCTCGCATGACCTCCTCCATGTCACCCTCGGACGTCCAACTCGTCGCTTCCCATGGGGATTCCACTCGAGGGCCTGACGCGTGATGTCCTCAGTCGGCCTTCTCAGTGCATGGCCAATCCATCTCCACTTCTTCCTGCATATTTGTTGCGTGATAGGTTCTTGGTTGGTTCGTTCCCAGAGTTCCTTGTTGCTTATTTTTCTGGCCATCTGATCTTCAGCAGCGAGCGTAAGCAGTTGTTGATGAATGTCTGTAGTTTATTGGAAATACCTTTCGTGACGCGCCAAGTCTCTGAGCCATACAAGAGCACTGACTTGACGTTGGTGTTGAAAATCCGTATCTTGTTCCGCATGCTGAGTGCAGAAGATCTCCACACTGGTTTCAGGCTAATGAACGCCTGTCTTGCTTTTCCGATTCTGACTTTGACGTCCTCGTCCGTCCCGCCTGTAGTTGAAACAGTGCTTCCTAGATAAGTGAAGGAGGTTACTTCCTTTAAGTTTCTCCCGTTGACGGTGATTGGAGTTTGTTGTTGTTGTTGATGGTGGTGGTGCGGTATCTTCATCACTTCTGTCTTCTCTATATTCACCTGAAGTCCCGTCTTAGCTGCCTCTTCTATCAACTTGTTAGTTTTTGCCTGCAGATCTTCAAGTTTATGTGACATTAGGCATAAGTCATCGGCGAAATCCAAGTCTTCTAGGTTCTTTTCCGTCGTCCAGTGTATCCCCCTCTTCTCGCTGCCTACTGTTTGCTGCATGATCCAGTCCACCACAATAAGGAATATCATGGGGGATAGTAGGCAACCTTGTTTCACTCCTGTCTTCACTTCAAAGGCATCACTGAGCTTCCCATTGTGGATTACTTGGCATGTGGCATCTTCATATAGTTGTTGAATGAGGCGGATAAAGGTTTGCGGTACTCCGTAGTATTGAAGCAGTTTCCAAATTACTTCTCGGTCGACGCTGTCAAAGGCCTTCTCAAAGTCGATGAAGTTGAGGTAGAGAGCTGATTGCCATTCTATGCTCTGTTCTATGATGATACGAAGCGTTGCAATTTGGTCTGCACATGATTTGTACTTCCTGAAGCCTGCCTGTTCCGGTCGCAGTTTTGAATCCAGTGCGTCTTTAAGCCTCTCTAGGATGATGCGGCTTAATATTTTACTTGGGGTGGACAGGAGAGTGATTCCGCGCCAGTTCTTGCAAGCACTGAGGTCTCCCTTCTTCGGCAGTTTGACAAGGTAACCCTTCTTCCAATCGTCAGGTACCTTCTCTTCCTTCCACACCTTCTGCAATAGTGGTGTGAGCATGTCCGCTGTTGTCTCTGCATCTGTTCTCAGTGCTTCTGGCGGTATTCCATCTGGTCCTGCTGCTTTCCCACATTTCAGTAGCTTTATGGCGTTCAGGACTTCCATTTTCGTTGGGGGATTAATGTTCACTTGTAATTCAGCGGCTGCAGGTGGTATTTCTGGACGAAGTGCAGGTGGTGGTCGATTCAAGAGCTTCTTGAAGTGGTCGGCCCATCGTTTCCTCTGTTTCTCTTCTTTTGTAATTAAATTTCCTTCTTCATCTTTTATTGGTTTCATCTGTGTTGGTCTCTTCCCTGATAGCAACCTGGTTATTTGATACAATGTCGTCAGGTCTCTCTTACCTGCAGCCTGTTCTGCTTCACTTGCCAGTGTTTCGTAGAAGTGTCTTTTGTCTTTGCGTGCACTCTTCTTCACTTCTTTGTCCAGTGTTTTATACATTGTGCTCAGTTCCTCTTGTCGTTGAGCATCCTTGCACTGGTTTATCTTCTGCTTCACCATCCTCCTCTCCTTCCTCTATCAGCTTCCAGGTATCCGTCGAGATCCATTCCTTGTCTTCTTTCTTCTTCCTTCCTAATACTGTTGTGCAGGTTTCTTTCCACATAGCTTTCAAAGACTTCCAGTGTTCTTCCACACAGGTTTCTTCAGGGATGTTCCTCGATGTCTCCCATTTTGTCTTGATGGCTGCCGTGAAGATCTCCTTTGTAGTTTCATCCTTCAGTTTCCGAGTGTTGTACTTGAATTGAGGTCTATCACCAGCTTCCTTGAAGGCTTTTAACTTGATTTGGAAGGTTCCTTGCACTAGGTAGTAGAGGTCTGAACCTACATCTGCTCCTCTTCTTGACCTTGTGTTAAGTAGACTGCGTCTCCATTTTCTTGAGATTGAGATAAAGTCGATTTGATTTTTAGTGTGTCCATCTGGTGAAATCAAATCCATGTCGCTTTGTGGATATCCTTGTGCCTGAACACACTGCCTCCAATCACCAAATCGTTGAATGCACAGAATTCTGCAAACAATTCTCCATTCTCATTCATTTCACCTAGCGCCTCTCGACCCATGGTTAGTTCTCTTCCTGTGTTGTCCCCTCCCAGTTTGGCATTCATGTCACTGACCCATTAGAATTTTGATATCGCCAACTGACGTCTTGTCCAGTGTTGATTGAAGTTGTCTGTAGAAATCCTCCTTTTTCTCTTGCTCTGCATTATTTGTAGGTGCATAACATTGTATGATTGTGACCTTTCTTCCTTTTGAGTTGAACCTCGCTGTCATGATCCTGGAGGAGATTGGTTCCCACTACATGAGAGCCTTCGATGCTCTTGAGGACATCATGATAGCCACTCCCTCAGTGTGCTCGTGGTTGGCGTCTGGGTGACCGGAGTAGATTATTGATTCTCCAGTTGACAGTTTGGAGAGTCCACTTCCATTCCATCTGCTTTCGCAAATCCCAAGCACTTCGATGTTATACCTTCTCATCTCCCTTGCAATCTGGGCTGCCTTACTGGGTTCAAACATCGTACGGACATTCCATGTCCCCACGTTTACTTTCGCTTTCATCGAGGGAGAGAAGACACATCGGCCAATTGGCTTCCTGAAGGCTTTCTACAACAGGCGTCATTTCGCCTCTCCGATTCCAGTGAGGAATAATTTTGTTATTATTTTTTATGTGTCGTTTGTGCTTTGAAGTTTCTTTAGCGGTTAGATTTGTTATCCGGGGTAGGGTTGCTAGCCCTATGCCCAACCTTCCCTCTTTACCCGGGCTTAGGACCGGCTAGTAACTAGTAAACTAGTTAACCAGGCGAGGTTATGCAATGAAAGATAGTGGAGGAAACTTCGTTGCACCAAAAAGAAGAAACAAAGGAACCAACGGACTGACCACTTCAAAGAACTCTTGAATCGACCAGCACCACCACCGCCACCAACTGCAACTCGTCCAGAAATACCATCAGCGACCCAGGCACAGAAATATCAGTGGACACAAGCCCTCCGACAAAAGCAGAAGTGGAGTTCTGAACGCCATAAAGTTGCTGAGAGCCGGGAAAGCAACATGACCAGATGGAATTCCTGCAGAAGCACTGAAAACAGACACAGAGACAACAGCAGAGGACATGCTCATACCACTATTGTAGAAGGTTTGGACGGATGGAAGGAAGAAAGGAAAGGTACCAGCCGATTGATTAGAAGAAGGGCTACCTTGTCAAATTCCCGAAGAAGGGTGAACCAAGTCTATGCAAGAACTGGCGCGGAAACATGATGCTGTCCCTCTCCATCCAAAGCAAGCAAAATATTCAGCCACATCATCCTGAAGAGACTAAAAGATGCGCTGCATTCAAAATTACGACCGGAAGATGCAGGCTGGCTGTCTGGCTAGCTGGCTTCAGGTAGAACAAATCATGTGTGGATCAAACTGCGACGCTACGCTACGCATCATCATAGAACAGAGTACAGAATGGCAGCCAATTCAACTCAACTCAACCTCAACTTCATCGATTTTGAAAAGGCCTTCAATAGCGTCGACCGAGAAATAATCTTGCAGGTAGCTGCTTCAATACTACGGTTTTGGTGTGACAAGCCTTTATCAACCTCATTCAACAGCAGGTATATGCTATGCTATATGATGGGGCTACATGCCAAGTCATTCACAATGGAAAGCTCAGTGACGCCTTCGATGTGAAGACAGGGGACAGGAGTAAGACAAGTCTGCCGCCTACTATCACCGATCATCTTCCTGATTCTCGTCGACTCGAATGCACTCGACTGGATCATGCAACAGACAACTGTGAGGAGCTGTGAGAAGAGGGGTATAAGCTGTCTAGACTGGTGAAAAGACCCCAGAAGAAGATTTGGATTTCGCCGCCGATGATGGTTTATGTCTAATGTCTTGTCGCAGAAACTCGAAGATCTACAGAAAAAAACCAACAAGTTGACAGAAGAGGCAGTGCAGCGATGGCGGGACTTCCTTAAAGTGAACGTAGAGGAGACAGATGTGATGAACACACCCAACAACAACAACAGGCACCAATCACCATGAGTAGGAGAAATCTAAAGGAAGTTGTCTCATTTACTTACCCACCTACCTACCCAGGCACCATCGTTTCAACTACAGGTGGCGGCACAGGCGCAGATGAGGACGTCAAAGCAGCCAGGATCGGGAAGACAACAAGACAGGCCTCCATTAACCTGAAATAATCAGTGTGGAAATTTACTGCACTGCACTACACTCAGCATAAAGCATGAACAACATCCGGATCTTCAACACTAATGCAGTCAAGCCAGTCAGTGCTTCTATGTGACGGTTCAGAAACTTGTTGCGTTGCGAAAAGCATTTCCTACGAACTACAGACATTCATCAACAGCAGCCGCCCACTCTCACTCGATACTGGAGATGAAGATCAGATGGCCAGAATAATAAGAATAAGCAACAAGGAACTCTGGAAACGAACCAACCAAGAACCCATTGCACAACAGATGGGCAGAAGAAAGTGGAGATAGATTGGGTATACACTGAGGAGACTATTTGAGAACATCACGCGCCAGGCCAGGCCGTCGATTGGAACCGAAATGGGAAACGACGAGTTTGGCGTCCCATCTGCGTGTGACATGGAGGAGATGGTGTGAGGAAGAGATGAAAGCTTGTACGTAGTGGTGCAGCCAGACTGGGAAGACTGGGGAGGAGAGAGTGAAATGGTGATGTGCTACTGGAGCCGTATGTTCCACCAGGAACCCGAGGGACAAATGATAATAATAACAGATTGTATTCAACTCTCTCGCTAGCTCTCTGTTTATATTCATATAAACATATATAATATAAACTAGTGAATAGACTATACTGGTTGTGGCATTGAGAACATGATACCATTGTCCCAATACATGATCTCTGTTGAATTCTCATCAGGCCTAACCTTTAAATACTATAATTTTAACACGGAAAAGGGATATACGTATCACATGGTTGAAAATTTTGGAGTGACAGTGATAACTAATTTTTTTGGAATAACTTTTTGCATGAGGTATTATTTTATGAGATTTTATTTAGACTGCCATTGGATGAAGGAATTGGAAAAATTCGGAAAATCACTACTTGAACAGAGTATGTATTGAGGATATCAGAAAGGGTGTAGATAATTCATGAATACCAGGTGAATAATTCGTCAATGTTTTTTCTGTACTTTTTATGATTTTTTACTTTCTGAATACTTCGGATTCCGAAGATTTACATTACCTCGTGTTATCATACAACAAATAGTTGGAAGGATGTGAATTTATATAATTTGGTTCTAATAACATTTACATGTTAGGCTGCAGATAACTGATGAATATTGGTGAAATAAATTACATCAATGTATCCTGCAAACCTAGTTCTTCCTGCTTTATCCAAATTCATCAAGAGATCCAAATGGATGAAATTTGTGTCTTGCTGACACATGTATTAATGCGCATTCCTGTTCTCTGCTAATCATTACTTATCATTAAAATCTGAACGGTTAAAACCTTATCACTTTCTATGTGATCTAAGTCAACCAGTCATCCAGATTCAGGAAGTCTGGGCAATTCTTCTGTGTGAGCTGAGTTTGTTTAGATACATATTTGATGAGTTCGCCCCCCAAACGAGGGAAGCGATCATCCGGTGTTTAGATCACTCTGAACTGGCTAACAAAATCTACCGATCAGTGTGAAAAGTTTCTAGCTACTCATGTTATTCAATAAGGATTATCTCTGGGATAACTAATGATGCTCCAATATGTTGTACTACTGTTACTATTATTATCATTATTTCCAGTCAAAATCGTGGATATATACTGTAGCTTTCGGTGATGATAAAGGCATTTCCTTCTTGACATCAAATATATGGAAGAAGTTAGAGTTCTAAGGTCTCTATTTATCAGGAAGGAGGCTCAATGAAACGGCGTCCCCGAAACAAACCCCTGGGGTAGATAAAAGAGAAGCTACTTTAGAATTTTGAACTCAACGTCAACATACCAGATGACGTTCTGCAATGACGAATCCCTATGAATAATTTATACTTACCATCCAATGGTGAACATCTTTGTGAAGGAAAAACGATCACTTATGCATATATCACATCGCCTGCTCCTACAAAGCTATGTATGTAGGGCATATCTAGAGGTCTATTATTCAACGTCAACATGAATACTTTCCTGTATGTCTCAGTTCAGTCTTACAATATCTATTCGACAGTAAATATACGATTTTAGAAGATTCATTTAGTTCAGAAGAAGCTTCCAAAAGGTGTAAGTAAACGTCTGTTGTGCGCTGCTGAAGCTTTAGCATTACAGAAGTGGAAGTCAGAATCCTGCATGTTCAAAAGCAAGTTTTCCACTCATTTTACTTATTCACTATTCATGTGCACAATAACTAAGTGTATTCAAATGTCATTGTACATCTTTTAAAAATGACGTCATCAAAAAATTTATTCGCTGAAGTTTTTCTTCTTTTATGACTCATTGCAAATATTCAAATCTCTTAAGTCGGTTTGTCTAATTGAGAATGCAGTTAAGAATAGTTTAATTACAGGTAAATAAACATTGTATCAATAAAATAATACTGTTTATCAACATTTATTAGTAGTATTTGACAACAAGAACATATACAAACCAGAAGACTGTCTTGGTTTATCATAGTGACTATGACCGATTTGCATTT